AATATCGATCACACATCCGCCTTACGTACCCCAATCTCAGCATTAGTTGGTTGACCAACTGGGCAGTGGAGTGGCCGTAGGTAGACGGAAAAGTAGGTGAGATTGACTGTGTCAACGCATATTTATCTCCACAAACAATCTAACGCGCCTGAATCTCATACGGTACGCAAAAAACCGTGGCTTGGAAGACGGACAAATAAGGGTATAACTCGGACCTCGCAGCCAGCCCAGTGTGCGTTCGCATGGACTGGCCAGCTGGTTTACTCGGTCCTCTCCTCAGGAGGGAGAGTCAGACTGCATTGGCTCCTTCATACTGTGACATTTTATGGTACACCAACGCAGTTGGGATCCCAGCCACCCCAATTGTCCATATTTTGTGAACTCCTGGTTGTTTGTGCGCAGATCAAGTGTGGTGACACGCATAGGTGGGGAGTTCCCGCCGTGTCAGTCACCTGCATCCGATACCGCCTCCACTTCTTGAGTCCGTCATGCCAATGGGCCCAGATGAGGGAGGAGAGTGTGCGGTAGATGCGTCGCAGGCCTACTATCACTGGTCACCGTCCCTGCTCCCACGGTGGACGTCGTCGGAATCAGCGGTGGAACTGTCATAATTCATGCTGGAGGAGGATGAAGACAATGAAATGACCCTCATTGGTTTTCTCCTCTGCTGCAAGGGTTGTGATAGCCTAAAATCTAGTGTCCACGAAAAGTGAAAATACGACGCAAGTGAGGAGTCTCAAGGTAACCTGCCCAGTAATTAGCAGAGTTGCTCAGGTCTGCTCTGTAGGCGCGCTAGAGCGTGCTGCAGAGAACTGGAAGACAGCACCTTCGTAGGCAAATGAATGCAAAACGACAGAGGAACACAATTGTCCCACAGGCCAAGCCCGTTCCATCTCGCACATGAATTTTCGAGGCCAAATGCTAGAGAATGTGCATAAGGCCTTGGTGTTGGGCACGTTAAACAACTCGTCTCTGCTTCAAATTTAGAGGAAATTGATTAATTTTCGGTATTTCAGTCGTGTATCAACATAGTTGTCTGTCTTTGTCAGCCCACTGTTACCATGTGCCTAGACGCTAAAGTGGGCGAAATGAATATCCTATACAGCCTCACGACGTGACCCCTTCAAAACTGGCATAAGATCGCTTGATTGAGCCGAGGACATTTGGCGGCCGAATCCAGTTCATCA